ATTACCTCTTTAATATATACATTTTTTTAAATGTATGGCCTCTCAAATCAATTAAATAACACCTGTAAATCTTAGAATGCTGGACCCCCACCGGGGCTTTGGCCCTCGACCCACCGGGGGCCCTTGGCGGCCTCCCTGGCCCCAGCCAATGGTGCTCGCAAGTGCCCTTTCAGTATCAAAAAGAACCCCCTTACCAAAATCCTGGCTACGGGCTTGAATATACTTAAGAATCACCAGTATATTATAGCAATATTCCAATGTCATTCCGCTACTGTCATTCCGCCACTATAATTATATTCATAAATGATATTATATATTTGATTAAGTTAAATAATTAAACAACTAAATTTCTCAGAATGTTTTTAAGTATAGATAGGCAAATTCTAGACTAAAAATATAATGTTATTGTGTTTTGGTAATTACAGTATAAACAATCCAATATTTTTATTAATTTTCATAATTTTTATAATTGTGTTTGAGACTTGATATTAAAGTAAAATAAATTTGTTTCAAATACCAAGTGAATTGCTTCAGCATTGTTTTCATAAAAAGTGAAAGATTTTACATTTAGTCAAGAAGGTTTTTCATAAATATTAATTTCAAATGCACTTTTACCAATGGTCATTCTGCTACTGTGATTCCGCTACCAGACATGGTCTTATATTTTTATAAATATCTCCAAAACTATAAACATTTTTAAAAATCAATGTTTTGCATTCAATACTACACTAAATTATGATTAACTGAGATGTATTCAATCTTTAAATCACTTTCATAAATCAGAGGGTTTTAGTAAAATGTGAAGTGGTAAAAATAGAGGGTATTTTTTTGTGTCTTTCCGCTACCATACATATTTTTTGATATTGTATCAAAATTGTGATAGGCTTAAAAAAAAAACTAGGGTGGAAATTATAGATGGATTCCATAGTTAGGTAAACATGATAATTATTCCAAGAATTAGAATGGAGTATAAATATGACATTAGATTAAAGTTAAAAAGTTCAGCAAAATAGTGATTCCGCTACCATGAATTTGCCCAATTATAATTTTACCTGTGAGAGGCTTGTTACCATAGCAACGATATTTTAATTTTTCAAGCCATTTTTCGTCATTCTATGAAAACAGATGTCTGATAAATTGGATCTCAGAGATACAGAGTACAGTTACATATATTTCCCCTCGTTTCACGGAAAAGTGACCCCTCATAGGGGTGTCCTAAATGTGGGATTCTACTCAGAACTGTAATACTTAGTAATGTCATCGATAAAAATAGACAGAGTTCCATTTACTGAAGTGATTCATGTCATTTATCAATAGCCAAACAAGGACCGATTCCTAGCTCAAACTTTTGGCGTAGGCCCAAGCCCTGCTAAAGCTTCTGCCAACATAGATGATCGACCTGGGTGGTGGCAGTGCTTGCAGTTGAAAATGTATTGATTAGATCATATGGCACACTCAGAAATTGTCCACGTCCCCTTAATAGAGGTTTGCAGTAGTGTTAAAATATATATTTCTCCTCGTTTCAAGGAAAAGTGACCACTTCATAGCGGTGTCCCAAATGTGGGATTCTACTCAGAACTGTAATACTTAGTACTGTCATCGATAAAAATAGACAGATTTCCACTCAGTAAGAGTCATGTCATCTATATAGCCAAACGATTCCTAGCTCAAACTTTTGGCATAGGCCCAAGCCCTGGTAAAGCTTAGTCACTTGGCGGCAGCCCCGATAGATGATCGACCTGGGCGGTGGCAGTGCTTGCAGTGAAAGAAATCTAGGTTAATTGTAATCAGCTTTCCTGACACGGATGAGGCGAGCTTTTACTAATGCGTGTACATGAAGTTTACATATACTTTCATTACCTAGAGTAGGCCCCTAGTTTAATGATTAAATCTCAATGAATATATAACTAAGTATTAGTATAGTAAAAAGTAAAACATTAACATATGGAATATTTATCATACATACAGACCTCCATAGTTCCCTGAAAATCGCGGGTTTCCCCGATTTTTCATGCCCCCCTGGGCTTGAAATTAACTTTTTTTCTTGGTAGTACTGCCAAAATTATCTGGCACCCCCAAAAAAATTTGGTAGCACAAGTAATTTTTTTAGAGCACATATTTCCCCATCCTTTTTGCATCCCCTAAGATAATAAGCGCTGCGCAATATTTTATTCTTCATATTTCCTAACAAACCCCCACCCACCCACACCTTCACTCTCCCCATGGATTATTATGCAAGGAAGAAGACATGAAAGAAAAAGAGAAGAGATTTTTAAAAATTGAAAAAAAAAAAAAAAACAGAAAAAAAACAAGGAAAATAATAAACAAGAAATAACAAAAGGAAGGAAAAAAAAAAAAAGAAGTAAAATGGTGGAAAGAAAATGACAATGAAAAAACAAAAAGAAAGGTAAGTATCAGAAATAAAATAAGAAAAAGGATGAAACAATATTAAAAAGAAAATAGATATTAAAGGGATAGTAAAGAAAAAAGGTGCAAGGTAAGAAAAACAACCTAACTGGAAGGAAAGGGAAAGTGTTTCATGGAAAGTTTCAATTGTTAGGAATACTTCTAAGAAAATTACAAATTTCTGTTAATTATTATTAACAGATATACACAATATAAAAAAGAAAAACATGAGCAGTAATAATGTGTTAGCTAAACTGTCTAGTCAATGGACTGCCAAAATCTGCAGTTACTTAAGTGGATTGATTGATTATAAAATTATTAATTATTATTACTGAAACATTAATTATATTTTCTGTACACTTTCTTTAAATTTTTTCAGTATTTTTCTTCATTTGTGCAGGAAATTTCGAGAAAATAGGTCCGCACAATCGCATTAACACTGCGAATGCCTATACATTGGTTACAATAGCCACCGGCCAACTTTACTGCAACATTTGCGAGGAAATTGGCAGACTTATTTTTAATATGCGTGGATGGAATTTTTTCTTTATGAGATAACTCTAAATCAATTTACACATAATAATTTCAACCTAAACAGAGTTCCAGAGTTTTCACCAACATTTCGGGTGTGCTGAGATTCCAGCTCCCCACTTGTCAAAGGCCATTTACAGTAGGCTTGTTTTAAGCCCGAAAAATTGGCATCACACAGTCGGCCGGCGACACTTCTTATTTAGGTTATAATGTAGCCTAGAACATTAGGCCTGGGCCTGTACAACTTTAGCAAATTATAACAATCTATAGTTTCATTTTCTTGTTCAATGGTTGTTTTTATTGAGAATTATAATTAAAAAAAAAAAAAAAAAACTGGTACGCCTTCCACCTTCAAAACTAGAGTATTAATCGCCAGAGAACATTGTCACACTTCTGGTGTTTACAAAGGTTTCGCAGAGTAACATCCCAAACATTGCAAGTTGCCCCGAATGATGTAATATCCCAGCATTCTGATTGGTTTACAACTTGTAATGGACTCAACATACCTTACTCGCCAGCCGGTGTAGTCGGGCGCACATGTGGTTTGGGATGTTACTCCGCGAAAAATAGTTTCGTAATTGGAAGGCCTGCTACCAGTTAGTTCGATGTTGTTACGTTTTTTGTTGTTGTTGTCAAAACAAGAAACATTCCTTGTAGAATTATATATTTTTTATATCTTATAGATTAAATTAACCAATTAATTCAATTGTTGCACTTTATTAATTCCACGTTTAAAATTTCATCTTTAAATATTCATTTATATACAATTCAATTTTTATATTATTTCCAAACACGATTGAACAATCATTTTTCTTACTTTCTGCTGATACTTTGTTAAGAACGAAATAAATTGTTTGATAGAGGCCCATTACTAGTTGAATTCCTTGTCGCACCTTAAAAATTCAGGTCGCAAATGCGACCAAATAACCCTTAATTTCAAGCCCTGCCCCTCCCCGCTTCCACAAAATTAAAAACTTTTTCCCCAAAAATTTATAACTTTACTTGTAAAATTGAAAAGTTATCTCCAAGTGTTTATTTTAAAATGTAAACAACATTTTCTCCTAATAATCACCAGCTTATTTACAATTAACAACATCTAGCCTTACAGTGATGAACAGTCGCCAAAAAAAACACAAAAGCCTTTGTTTTTTGATGCAGCTAATAAACAGCTAGAGTAATCAGGGCTGATTTAACTTTTGTTTGGTAACTAGCCCACTGGGTTAGTTGACTAGAGATTTTACTAGCCCACAGACAAACAATTTTGTTTCATAATATTGATTAGCGACAATTAAAAATTTGAAAATATATTAGCAATTTCATGTTTCTGTAGCAATCTTTGATAGATGCTAACATGTTCAATTAAAAAAAATAATACGGAAGAGGACTCAGATGACATGAATTGATCATATGTAACAATAACATGCTGATTTCTCATATTACTAAAAATCACCGTACTGTAAAATTGGAAATCGGAAGAAAGCCACCCAACAATGGATCATACCATTGTAAGGTGGGGGTGCACAATGGGCTATTTGTCTTGATGCTGGTCTACAATAGGTTTTGGCTGTGCTTGGAGTTTTTTGTATTAGACCTATTTTATTCTTTTGTGTATTATGAATTTACTATTTTTAAAACAGGGAGATGTTGAATATGAAACGTGTAGGCTGCCGGCACCTTGACCTCTGACGATTAGTGCCTAAACAAGTTTTCACAAAAATGTGATGAAATAATGACAATATGATTATTATTGTTCATTTTCGGTTAATATTTCAGTCGCTCCAAATTTCTTTCCTATTCTTCTTTCTTCCTATGCTTTCCATATTTTCCTTTAAATTTAAATTGTTATACTAAATACATATTTACGCATAATATTTCTATGTGTATATATATATATATAAATATATATTTATAAATAAATAATATATATAAATTTATATCATTTTAAGATTTACATATTTTAACTGTAATCTAGAAACAGGTCAATGTATACTTTGTGTCTGTATTTAACATGCTTCAATCTTTTGCTTTATTTAAATATCAATTATTATCATAAACTTTAATGATTACACTATTTTATATATCTTAAATAAATTTATAAACAATTTTAAATATTTAAATATAAACTATAAAAGTAAATACCATAGATTCGATCAATAAAAATGGACATAGTAGTAATCCTTATCTATTCATTAACACAAATAACATTTTCAATCTTCTAAAAAAATTTTCCCCTATTATTCTTCATTTATTCTTTCACAATTTTATGTTTTATTCATATTTTAAATAATTTTATACTCACATATAGACATTTGTTTAGGCCTAGCCTAGACCTCGGCTATGCCTATTACTATATTATTTAAATATACAATTTTAATAGATAAGATTAATTTTACATGGACATAGTAATTCATACTTAAACAATACATTTAATTTAAATGTAAATATAATGACGTTAACGAATAAATAACAATTATTAAAACGTGTACATAGTATCACTACTACAATAATAAGATTAATATCTTTCAATCTTCTAATCAATTTTATTTATATAGCCAGAGTTAGTTTTGACCTAGGCAAACCTTTGCTAAAAAGGTACACATTCTCCATCGAAAGGCCTCTTCTATGAAGGGCATGACCTGTTTCGAAGCACGAACTCCTGTAGACCAAACCTAGTACCGTTACGATTTTTAATCGTGCGGGAAATCCACTCACGATAATTAGAGGAAGACATTAGTTTCATTGTATTAAATCGAAACATGTTTCTTGTGAACAAATAGACACAAAGCCCAAAGCATTACAGAGATATGGTGATTTTAAGAATTTTTCAATAAATAAACATAAAAAGTGAGGTCAAAGGTCACAGAGGTCAAATTAGATTTCTAGTGACTTGGATTTTGTACCCCATGCCAAAGAGAAAATTTGTATTAAATACAATAAACATGTCAAGGCCTAATATCAAACTATATTTATCAGAAATATAACATTTTCATATTTTTGCCCAAAAATGCGTTTTTAATAAAATCTTAGTAAGCATTAGTTTTCATGAAAAAAGTTGTATTAGAGCAAATATAAATGTATGCCTTCTGAACAATATAGACCTTAGCGTTGCAGAGATATGACCATTTGATATTTTTGTCCAAAAACACGATCTTAAAGAAAAATCACGGTAAGCATTGGATTTCATGCAAAAAGTTGTATTAGAGCAAATATAAATGTATGTGTTCTGAGTAACTTGGCATCAAAATAAATTCAAAAGACCAAAGCGTTACAGAGATATGGTGATTTCATGTTTTTTCAATAAAAAAGATAAAAATTGAGGTCAAAGGTCAAATCAGATTTCCAGTAACTTGGTTTTGGCACCCCCTCATCATGCCCTATCACTGTGCAAAAGGGCAAATTTGTATCCACTACTGTAACATTGCTGGACCTTAGCGACTGGACTGGCAGCATGGGTACAAGCGTAATTCTAAGTTTAGACCTAACAAATGTTTTAATTAATAATGAGCCTTCGAATTGTGCGACGACACGATGCAAGGACAAAATCACTCATGCGTGACCGTCCTACCTGGTGTCCTACATTTTCTGCATACGTATATATGGCCAAATTGCATTCCAGGATCTACTCGACGAGGTGACCGTAACGTTCTCGCATGCGCAGATGACTTTTAGTGACGTCATTACGTTCTACCGTCGTCGTGCAATCGAAAGCTCCCTAATAAAATAAGAGCCACACTCACTGTCGTCGATTATTTATTTTTTAGGTAGGCCTAGGCCTATAACTTACATTTTGGCAATCTTGCCTCTCAAATTTACTTGTGTTTTCTGTGTTGTACTTTTATCTACAGACAAAATAAATGATATGAAACAAAACACACTTATTTCCAGATTTTTTTGGAGGTTAAAATACATCACAGTCGAAACGAATGGCATGCACAGCAGACAGGTGACAAGTAAACAACAAGTGTAATATACAGGTAAGGCCATTTTGGGCCCACGACGCACACAGATAGAAGGAAGTCACTTCCAGGCCTAGCCTAGCCTGCTTTAGCTTATGATTATGTTGCTAATTCTCACTAACAGTACCGATATAAGAGCACGAATAGGCCTACTAAAGTCAACAACTACAATTGAAATTACACACACATGTTTAAACTCTTTGGTTACAATTACAAATAACTAAATTAAATCACCTGTCTCTTCCTTTTTAAAGTACAACTGCCTGCACACGCTCAGTTGATTGATCTTCCATCATCTCGCTCTCCGTGACAGCAGAGCTCGAGCTGTGGGCGCCGCGCCATCCACATGAGCATTGCGCATGCGTGCGACGGTTGGTTGCGTGTAATTCAATTTTTGGAAACTGACAAAGAGGGCGACATAAGAGCAATAAGTGCTCGGTATCATTAATTAATTTCTTTTCATAACACTTGTTTTCCAACAATTTCATATGAATACAACCTTATATTGTGAGGAGGATCATAATCTAAAAGTGCAAGAGCACGGGACAAGATCTCAAAACGAACTACTGTATATATTTTGAAAGGGAAGTTATAGTGCACATGAGGAAAAAAAGGGGCAGTAGGATGATAAATAAGTAAATAAAATAATTTAAATTTTAATATTATATAAATACAAAATAAAAATGTGTAAGATCACAGATACCTTAATTTGTATTATATTTAGATATGTAGTGTTTCTTGATGTTTTTACAAAAAACTGGAAAATCGAAAATTTTTTTAAAGTTGTCATAAATACATTCCATAGGCCTACTTGGTTCAGAATTGATAACTTCTCAACGTAGTTATTTTATCCTTTAAAAGAAAACTTGCTTGAAATATATAAATAAAAAAGAAAAGAGTTAAAATAGTAAAATTTCGAAATAAGAAAGATTAAATATTAAATAAGAAATTTAACTACAATTGTAATTGTTGGATGAGTGGATATGGGAGGGGCACGGAGGCTATATGCATGTGTCCCCAGATTTTGCCACTGCCGTCCTTTTATTTTTGAAGCCAGGCTCTGGAGGGAAAATTGTTTTGGTATGTTGTACAATACAACTGATTTTTCTAAGAAACAAAAATCATATTTTGACAAAAAAAAACTGAGCTGGTAACGAGATACAGATTTTTGAATATTTGAAAAGTGGTGGTGAAGAAATGGAGGCGTAACCACGCCTTTTTTCACATTTTCTCCCAGTTTTTAAATATTCAAAAATCTGTATCTCATTAACCGCTCTGAGTTTTTCATCAAGTATGTTTTTTTGGCTAAAAAAAAAGTTATTTGTACAACAAATAAAAAAAGTTTCCTCAGGAGTTGTCAATGGCGAAACTCGGGTAGGCCACTATAAAGCTTTCTACCATTTCCTTTCTTTTCATATTCTCATTCTTTTCTTTTTCTTGTCTTTATCTTTATATTCTCCTTTTCCTTTTCTGATCTCTCCTTTCCTTTCCTCTGCATCTCAATATTTATTTACGCTTTCTTCTTTTTTCCTTCTTTTTCTTTCTGTTTGTACTTTATTCAAAAAAAACATTTTTGATTTTTATTTTATTTTCTCTTTCCTTTCTTTATTTTTCTATCCTTTTCCTTTCTTATCGTTTTCACTTTTCTTTTTCTTCCATATTATTTTACCTTTTTCTTTTCCCATTCCTTCATGGGCTATTTCAAGTCTACTCATATCTTCTTTCCTTTATTTTCCTTTTTCCTGTTTGTTATTTTCCATGTAACTTTTTTTCTTTTCGTTTTCCTTTTCATTCCTTTCTTTTCTTTTACATTTCTCTGCCTTTTCCTTCGTTTTATGTCCAACCAATGGACTGGTCGTTCTTAGTTAAACCACGCCCACCCGCACAATGGTAAAATCCTACTTAACGAAGACGACCAATCGAATAGAAAACTGATAAATACTCGAAAAAACAAAATGGCTGCATAGTTACAGCGATACACGCTGCGTAATCAATTGTGGCAGTATGGTTTTTCGTAAAAAATGTTTTCATCCAGTTTTTGAATTCTGTTAGCCTACAATTATTTTTTGACTTCATACAATGTGGATATACTGTATATACGAAAGCACATATCGTGCCAAAAGAAGTATATGTTAGCGCGCCACTAATTCGAATTCAAAATACTAATTACTAATAATAATAATAATAATAATAACAACAACAACAACAACAACAATAACAACAACAACAATAAAAACAATAAAAAAACAACAATAATAACAATAACAATAATAATAACAACAATAATAATAACAACAATAATAATAACAACAACAATAATAACAACAACAATACAACAACAATAATAACAACAACAATATATAACATCAATAATAATAACAATAATAACAACAACAATAATAACAACAACAATATAATAAAATCAATAACAATAATAATAATAATAATAATAATAATAATAATAATAATAATAATAATAATAATAATAATAATAATAATTATTATTATTATTATTATTATTAGTAGTAGTAGTAGTAGTAGTAGTAGTAGTAGTAGTAGTAGTAGCGCTAACAAATACTTCTTTTGGCACGAATGGGCTTTCGTAGAATTGAACCAGTCGAATATAAGCCCAATGACTGACCTGACCACCGTTAAAGGAATGTCATGTGACTCGCCTTTGCGTACAGAAAACCATGATGGGTAAATGGCGAATTCACGTGTGTTTGTTTACATTGCTAATTTTAGTTTTTCAGCTACCTCCTGCTTTCACTTTATGTGGATATGATGTAAATATATCTTTTCAGTCTTTATTTTGCTTAAAATTCTAATTAATTAAAAACTATTGATACCTGAATTTTGTTTTAGGCCCCTACTCTAGCTAGGCTAGCTAGCAAGCAATAGCATAGGCAGAGGCTAGCTATATAGAAAGCCTGGCCCAGCATGGAGGTATTATTATTAATACCTCTTAGGCGTAGCAGTAGTAGGCCTACTAGTACTGCTGCTACTACTGGTGGACCGCTACTATAATAAACTAGTACTAACCTAGTAGTAGTTGTGGGTGCATACCTTTGGTCCGAAGGGTCTTTGGTCTAAAGGACCGTCGTTGCCCCGAAGGGTCTTTGGTCCGAATTAGTGACCTTTTTTTTTCCCAGGAATGCAGGTTATACGGCAGTAAAACAATTCCTTACAATTTATGGAGTAAATTAAGAAAGATCAGTTTTCTAAAACAATATTCCCTCTAAATATTTTCCCTAACAACATGTAAGGCCAAGTAAAAAAAAAAACTAGTTTCTTGTCACTTCCCGCATCCATTTTCCAGGGGTGGCGCCAGAGGGGGGCTATAGCCCCCCGTCGGGGAAGCATAGACCAATAAATTTTGTCGGGGAACAAGCAAATAAAAAAAAATATTTACATGTAACATTCGTTTAGCCACCATATCGTTTGTGTTAACTTTTCATCACAACAACAACCACAATAACAATAATAATAATAATAATAATTCAATGAGACTAATTAAAAATAATTTGCATTCTGTTATGACAAATGCTCATTTAGATAGCTTCATGATGGTTGGAATACATCGTGATAGGTGAAGCAACCTCGACCATGACAACGTGGTTGACAGATTTCATGCAAAATTTCCAAAATATAGAATTTCACTTTCAAGAATGAGGATTTGAACATAAATTAGATGGTTACATTGTATACTCTTTGTTTCTTGCTTTATTCAAAAATGTTTTGGTTTTGGAAGCTGATGTCAACATTAGAAAGCATAGCCTACATGAAGTCACATTATAGTAACTCGATGCCTATCAAATAAGTAATAAAAATTCGCCATAATTCATCAAATATTTTTTTCCCCCTGGGGCTTTGCCCCCTGGACCCCCACCGGGGGCCCTAGGCGGCCCTCCTGGCCCCCAGCCAAGTGAGACTCGATTCGCTCCACTAGCCCCACCGTCGGGGCCTTTAGCCCCTCCGTCGGGCAGGTCCTGGCGCCACCCCTGCCATTTTCGCTGATTCACCATTTAAAAACTTTTCGAAATGTACAAAAATCTGGCTAACTCACATCAGTAAAATTCCTCTCTCGATCGTGGATAGGGAGAGGTTCCCAGTGAGAATTTTAGTTGAACTATTACCAGTAGTATTATGAATTAAAACTCAATGTACTATGATACGAATCATGTCTAGTGCTTCTTTTATTTGATTTCAATGTGCAGTGGCGGCACTACAGGGTGGCATAGGGGNNNAAACAGGGGGAAAATTTCCCCTAGAAAATGTGTTGCCCCCCCCACTTCCTCCCCCCCCCCCCCAAGAAGAGTAGAGAAAAACAATTCGTCGGAGAAAAAAAATATATATGTATTTTCTACATATTAGTAGACGACTATCTATTGAGAATCGATTGAATAACCCTCTGAAACCCCTAAATTTTTCGAAGGATCCGCCCCATGGACCACTTTCGAAACATTTTGACACCCGACCACACTCACTTTGCTCTCATCGGGATACTTGCCCTCCCCCCCCCAAAAAAATCATACCTTGCCCTTCATTTTCCCACTCACCCAGATGCTTTCGCCGCCACTGTCAATGTGTCTACTTTGTAAAGGTGAGAAAGTAGTTAACTGTTTCCCATCGTCCATAAGTAAATAAAGCTGTTAAGATTTTCCAAACACTGGATGGATTAATTAAATTCCCCTATTGTTATTAAAACCTTTTCTGTATCCTGCTTCAATTTATTAGGAAGTTATACCATGGACCTATTAAAATCTTATTAAGAGGTCCATGGTTATACTTACGCTCCATTCGCTTGGAATCTTTTCAATTTCTAATAATTTGTTAAAAATATACATAAACTGAGCTGACAAGTCATGCTAGCAATAATTGTATACTGTATTGTTAGCCAGTATAGACCTACATGGTGGTCCCGAACATGTGTTTTCTTCAAATATATTTTTGTCTATATTTGAATTAATTACTTCGGACCAACGGACCTTCGGACCAAAGACCCTTCGGACCAATGGACCTTCGGACCAAAGGTCCTTCTGACCAAAGGACCTTCGAGCAAATGCATTGACCCCGAATTCATAAGTGTACTGTATAGTTAACCTAAGAGTGTAATGCCGTATGCATTACACCTTCTGTGCCCAGCGACTTGCCGCACATCCAGCAATACACTATCGGTGGCCTACGTAATTTTACACAATCACATTACAAAATGTGTGATAAATTTATACTCTTATGAATTAAAAACGCTATGACAAATCGGTGTATGTTGTGTGGGTCGTACAACAAGGCCAGACTGGTACAAGGCCATAACATACAGTACTGTAGTATACAATATTATGATGCGAAAAGTGTGGGCCTTTGTTGGTATT